ATGCGCCTTGTTTCGGCGGTGGACAAACCTCCCTTTAGTAAACCTCCCTTTAGCGAAAACGACCTAGGACCGAAACCGACGGACCTGGACCCGCAAAAATAACGGTCGCGACGCCCTCTCGCGAACCGAGAACGGCCAATTCCTTAATCGACGTGTCAGGGTAGGAGGTCTGTCCACCCCCGATTGTTCTTGTCCCTCGCCCTGTGGTTTCCTGGAGATACTCTTGGATCGTCTCGGGGTCCACATGTTGGGGGGTCTTTGGCCGTCAAGGGCTCCCTTGGGGGTCATGCCCGGGGTTCTCTTGGTAGGGGGCCACATGCGAACCCTACCCCTACCCCCCACGAGTTCTGAGGGGGAGGGTGGGGTTCACTTGGCTCGGGAGCTCCCGAACGAAGTGACCCCCCCCCTCAGAAATCGTGGGGGTAGGGGCAGGGTTCGCATGTGGCCCCCTACTTGGGGTGAACTGGGGCCTCTTGGGGGCCTCCCGAGAGCCCTCAGAAGCGTGTCGGGGGTCATCACAGGCCCCTCTTGGTCGCTCTGGGAGCCTCGTTGGGGCCTTCTGGGGGCCGTCTTCGCGACGCCTTAGAGCCTTAAACTATCTGGAGCCGTCTTAGCGGCCTCTTGGGCCGCCTTGGGATATTCTTGGGCTTTCTTGCGGCCCCCCTGAGGGCCTCCTGGCCCGTCTGGGGCAACTGTGGAGCGCCCCTGTGGCCGTCCTGAGCGGTCGAGAGTCCGACAGACAGGCGATCAAGAATCAATCCTCCAAAAACCGGCGGAACATCGTTGCTTGTTACCTCTTGGGGCTCTTTCGGGAACCCTCTGGGAGCGCTCTTGGAGCGTCTTGGGAGCTTCTTCGGCCTCTTGGGGGTCTCCAGGGAGCTGTCAGAGGAACTTTTGGAGGTCTGGGGCCCTCTTGGCCCCTCTGACCTTCGTGGGATCTTCTTGGCGACATATGTGAAGCTTCCTACTGGTTTTCTGGGGCCGTCTTGGCGCCCTCTTGGACCGTCTTGGGGTCCTCTTGGGCCGTCTTGGGAACCTCCATGGGGCCTCTTTGGCCGTCTGGGGCCACTGTGGAGGGCCCCGGTCGCCGTCTTGGGCGATCGGGAACCCGAAAAGGCGATCAACCAAAAATCCTTCAAAAACTTACGGAAGGTTGTTCATTATTAAATCAGGAGGGTCTCTCAGGAGCTCTCTGGGAGCGCTGTTGGGGCGTCTTGGGGGCTTCGTCGGCCTCGTGGGGGCCCTCCAGGGCTGTCAGAAGCATGATGGGGGTCTCAGGCCCCTCTGGTTCCCCCTTAGGGCCTCGTTGCGGCCGTCTTGGGGCCCTGATGACGACCTCTTGGAGCGTTCTTGGGGCTCTCAGAGCCCCTCTTTGCGCCCTCTTGCGCCGTCTTGGGGTCCTCTTGAACCGTCTTGGGGCCCTATTCCGGGCCTCTTGGATCGTCTCGGGCCACTGTGAAAACTCCTGACACCGTCTTGGGTGGTCGGGGACCCGCAAAGGCGATCAACCTCAAATCCGTCCACAACCCAAGGAAAATCCTTGATTGTTGCCTCTTGAGGCTCTCTTGGGAGCCCTCTGGGAGCGCTCTTGGGGCGTCTTGGGGTCTTCTTCGGCCGTTTCGAGGCCATCTTGGACAGTCTTGGAGCCCTGTCAGGTCGTCTTGGGGCCTCCTGAGCGTCCCGGAGCCGTCATGGGGCAATCTGAGGCCGTCTTGGGGCACTACGGAGACTCTCAGGACGGCCGGGGTGTTAATTACGCAGCCATTCGAGCCCTAGGCCCTTATCGCATGCAAATTCCCCTGCAGTGTGCATCCGTGCATCCGCAGCATCGTAAGACTAGTGTGCACCCGTGCAGCAAATCCGCATGTTCCCTGGCAGGGGAACGCGGCGACCCATCTCTGCACCATCTTGGGTCGTCTTGGGCGCCTCTTGGGCTGGAGGTCGCCCTGGGAGGAGAGATAAGGTTCTACTGCGGCCAAATGGGCTTTTGTGCGGCCTGGTGGGCTTGAGTACGGCCAAGGGTTCTCCGGAACATATGAATACTCGAGAACGGTGAAGCGAGACAGGTCTGGGGGCTTCTGAAGAGCCTCTTGGGGCATCTGAAGAGCCTCTTGGGCCCTCTGAAGAGCCTCTTGGGGTCTCTGAAGAGCCTCATGGGCCCTCTGAAGAGCATTCTTGGGGCCTCTGAAGAGCCTCGTGGGCTCCCTGAAGAGCCTCTTGGGGCCTCTGAAGAGCCTCTTGGGGCCTCTGAAGAGCCTTTTGGGGCCTTTGAAAAGCTAGCAGGAAGGGAGGCAGCAGGAGCATGCAGCGAACGGGAGGAGCCTAGCGCAAAGGGACAGGAGGAACAGTGAACGACGAGAGGAGGAGGGGCGGGAAAGGTAGGAGTGAGGAGCCAGGAGAAGGAACATGGGGGCCAGGGTGATGATGACAAGGAAGAGGGATGAAGGGAGATTGCGCATCTGATATTGACAAGTGCAAGACGAGGGGAGGATCATGACGGGGGAGGATTAGGACGAATCTGATGATGATCGTGATGCTCAGGAGGACCATTGCGTCGAGCCCGTTTTCGCACAACTTTTCCAGCGCTGCACGCACCCTCGGATATGCAGCTGGGCTTATCACGTTGAGTCACAAGCTGTTTGTTTGAATGTTACATTGAAGATTGGCACAACTACTGCTAGATTGCTTCCAACGCGCCTGGAGATGGTCCTTGATGCGGCCACTTTTCTGGGTGGGCACGCAAGCTCGTAAGGATTGCCAGGATTGCCAGAGCTACAACAGGAAACCCTTACACATCACTTACACTTGAAAGGTCAGCGCGGGCCGCAGCAAGGCCCACCTGGCCGCGCGCTGGGCCGCACAAGAACCCCGCGGGCCGCACAATAGACCAACGGGCCGAACCAAAAAAACAGCCGCCCTGGGAGGACCCGGAACCAGCCCCAAATGGCACCCGAGAGGCCTTCAGGGGCAGCCCCAGGGCGCCGGAACCGTGTGAGGAAACGAGGCCGCGCTTCCTCACATGGTTCCGGCGTCCAGGCGCAGGGCCAGGATCTCGAGGGCCCTGGGCCGCAGTAGGAGAGCGTGGAACCGCCTCCAGATGGCACCCCGGAAGCCGCCTGGCCCGGCCTTGGGCCGTCTTGGGGCCGTTTTCGGCAGTCCAGGGGCACTGAGGAGCTGCGCTGAAACCCTCGTCGAAGGCCTCTGGGCCCAGCTTGGGGCGATTTTGGGAGCTGTTGGGCCGTCGCGGCCGCTGCAAGGGCCCAAGAGCCGGGTTTGCTCGAAATGTCGGACAACCCGGTTGGAAATATTGTATGTTTGCGCTGGAAGGCCTTGCATGGCGTATTCTTGGAGCGCTCTGGGAGCCTTTTGGAAAGCATTGCGGCCGTCTGGAGGCCGCCTTGGGCGGGCCCTCTGAGGCAGTCTGGACGCCATCCTGGGTTATCTTGAGGCCGTCTTCGGCCGTGTCGGAGGCGTCTTCGGCAAACTTCGCAGCCTCCTGGACTCGTTTGGGCCGTCTGGGAGACGCAATCTCTCCCTGCGGGCCCTCCCGGCAGGCCCCCCTGGGCGCTGCCACCAAAGCATTGCACCACGCGCTGCTCCTGGTATTGTAGGACAAACGAGTGTGAATCCGTACGTAGATTGAATCCACAGTTTGCCAAACCTGGGGCTCGCAAAACGTAGATTTAATCCACAGAGCAGGGCGTCGAAGCCGGACGGTTCGTGGGAGCTCGTGGAGAGGGAGGGGGGGGGGGGGGGCAAGGGCGCAGGTGGACCTCGGAGCGCATGAGCGTGCCGCGGCAGCGACTCCGTGGAGGAAGGAATGAGGTGAGTTCCGACAAGCTGCGCTGTTGTTCTGGACACCGCGTGGAACGCTCAACCGTGCACGATCAGCAGACTGGAAATCGCATCGGCCGATTCTGGACCAGGATCGGCGTGGAGCCATTGATGCCGGCGCTGAGGTCGCCGCTGCGTCGACGCGACGCGAATCTGCGCACCCCTCTCCACTGTTCGGTGAAGAGGGACAAGAACTTCGTTCTCAGGTGGCGCTAAGACTGGGCGGGCAGCGGGGAAGATGAACGGTACGAGGAGGAAGGAGAAGAGAGCGAGCGCTCTGGGAGGCGCGGAGATGCGCCCCCTCTGCCTCGGACGCGGCCCAACCGATCCCATGTGTGATAGGCGATCCCCCGACGACCTCCTGGCTCTGGAGGGCCGCCTCTGGCTCCAAGCGTGCGTCTTGCAGTGAGGCGAGGAGGCCGCCACAGGAGAACGCTGGTCCGCTGGAGGTGGGTGGGGCCGTTCCTGAGCCACGTCCCGTCAAGCTGTGAGCGGGGCGCCCTGGTCCTCCACTATGGCTGGGCACCACTACTGCGCCATGACGTTCTTGCTGGGGCGCACGCTCTGTACAAGGTCCTGCATCACCTCCCTGACATCCGGAGCCTCCTGGAGACTTGTCCGGGGGCTGAGGGGCCAGTCTTGGGATATGTTGGGTGTCTACTGGGCCGTGTCGGGGGCAGCTTGGGTCCTTCTGCGAGGCTGCCTGGGGCCTCTGGGAAGCCTCATGTGGTATTTTAGAGGCATCTGGGGCCGTGTTTGGGCTGTCCCCCAGAGTTCCTTTTGGAATCCTCTTGGAATCGCCTTGGAGCCTTCCTGAGGCGTCCTTGGGGCTCTCTAGGGCATGGAGAATTTCTTGGGGCCGTCTTGGAGGGCACATGGGGCTCGGCGATCGGGCGCTCTCTGGCCATCTTGAGGCCCTTTGAGGCCGTCTACCAGGGCCTATCTTGGGAGCCTGATGGGCAGCGATGGGACGATCTGGGAGGCGCTGGGAGCCGCATGGGGCCGCTCTTGGGGCGAAATGGGGAGAACCTGCAAATCTTTGAAAAACTACGAAGAATCTACGATTTGGGCCTCGTGGGGGCCCCAGAGCGCCGGGAGCCGCCACTGGCCGAGCTGCGGCAGCACAATCTCGCGCGCACTGACTCGAGCATTGTAGTCTAGATGACGTTGGGCTCCAGCTTCGCCTCCCACATCTCGCCCAGCAGCGCCAGCGCCCGCTGCCACTGCTCGCCCGTCTCGCACGCGCTGGCCCCAGCGCTGTAGCTGATGACGTTGGGCTCCACCTTCGCCTCCCACATCTCGCTCAGCAGCGCCAGCGCCCGTTGCCACTGCTCGCCCTTCCCGCACGCGCTAATCCCAGCATTGTAGCTGATGACGTCGGGCTCCAGCTTCGCCTCCCGCATCTCGCTCAGCAGTGCGAGCGCCCGCTGCCACTGCTCGCCCTTCTCGCACGCGCTGATCCCAGCGCTGTAGCTGACTAGGGCAGACCTGTGGACTCCGTCCACGACATCAGCTCGACGTGGCGAGGGGTCTCTAGGCAAGCGCGGGGGGGTGCGGCTGCAGGGCCGAAAGGCAATCATGATGGCGTCGGGCTCCAGCTTGGCTTTCCACAACCACATCTCGCAGTGCAGCGCCAGGCCCCTCCTCCTCCTCCTCCTCCTGCTCCTTCTCCTCCTCCTCTTCCACCTTCTCCTCCTCTTTCGCTCGATTCTCCATGCCCTCGGTCGGCAATCGTCGATCCTACGACGACTCTCCCCAACAGAGAAACATCGAAGGCCCTCGGAGCGTCCAACATTGTTCTTTTGTGCCTTCGATATGCCGGTCGCCTCTCGTCCGCTCCCCCCCTCCTGGAAGCAATTCTGAGGCCACTTAGGGCTTCGTGGGGGCCGTTTGGGGATCTCTTGGGGCGTTTTTGCCTGCGATATGCCTGTCGCCTCTCGTCCGCTCCCCCGCTCCTGGAGGGAATTCTGAAGCCACTGAAGGCTTCGTGGGGGCCGTTTCGGAGCCTCTTCGGCCTTCTTTTGGGCCTCCCGGGGGGGCTCTTAGGGCCCTCTCGGGCCGTCTTGGGTGCCTCTTGGGCCGTCTTGGGGCCGTCTGAGGCCCGCCTCGGCGCCTCTTGGGCTGTCTTGGGCCGTCTTGGGCCGCTCCTGGGGCCGTCTTGGGTGCCTCTTGGGCCGTCTTGGGCGCCTCCTGGGCCGTCCTGGGGCCGTCCTGGGGCGTCTTGGGACCGTCTTGGGGCCCTCCTGGCCCGTCTTGGGGCTCTCTTGGGATCCTCTTCGGCCGTCTTGGAGCGGTCTGGAAGACTTCTTGGGCCGTCTTGGAGCGTCGGGAAGCGGAAGAGGCGAGGAGGCCGAAAACATCGAAAAACACAATAGAAATCGACGATTTCTGTCGCTCGGGGCCCTCTTGGGAGGCCTCTTGGGAGGCCTCTTCGGGCGTCTTGGACGCCTCTTGGGCCGTCTGGGGCGAATCTCGGGCGTCTTGGGCCCATCTTTAAGCGTGCCGGGGCTCTCCGGGGCCGTCTTGGGGGCTTCGGGGGGCCCTCTCGGCGTGTCCTGGAGCCTGCCTGGGCGGCCCGGGGCGGCCCGGGGCCAGCCCGGGGCGGTTTTGACCCATTGGAGCCTGCGCCCTTCTGGCACGCACTGGGCCCTGCAATGTAGTAGAGACTAGGGCTGACCCGTGCACTAGGTCCACTTGCGGGGGGAATAGGTGGTGCAACCAGGCGCATTTGATACGGTTGGGCCCCGTGTTCGCCTTCCACATCTCGCTGAGAAGCGAGAACGCCCGGTAGTCACGGGCGTCGTGTCCCAGAAACTCTGGGTCGACGCTCGCCACTGCCAGGAGGACGAGATCGAACGCAGGGGCAGCATATTACGTACAGTTGGGGCGTTGACCTAAGGAATCCTAAACAAGAAACGAGGCCCCTTTTATCCATGAGTTAAACTTCGGCTTCCCATCGAAAACCTAAGGAAAACCTTAGGCAAGCTGTGAAACAATCAAGGAACACCGAGCCCCTCCCCAACGAGAAGGGTGCCTTCTTCAGCGCCCCGACCGTACGTCCGCGGCCGGGGTGCCGAGGCCTCAGCACCCGCCCCCTGGGACGCGGACATGATTCGACACGGTCCGCGGCAGGGGTGCGAAGGCCGCCGCGCCCGAGCTCGGGGCCGCGGGGAAGATTAAACACGCCACTCTTGCGTCAAATGACGTCCTCGTCTCCCCGAGCTGGGCGGTCCTGAAGGCTGGGCGGAGCCGTCCTGGCTCGGAGCCTGGTCTTTCACGCATGCAATGCACACTGCTTTTTGGGGCCGCGGTCAAGGTTTAACACGCCACCCTTGCGTTGCGTATCGTCCTCGTCTCTCCGAACTCAGGGGCCGCCCCGTAAGAGAAGTCTGCCTCGCCCTCTTGGGTCGAATCGGGGCCTTTGGGGGGCCTCCTGGGAGCCCTCAGAGACATGTTGAGGGTCACGGGCCTCTCTTGGTCTCTCTTGAGGCCTCGTTGGGGCCTTCTGGCGGGCGTCTTCGCGACGTCTTGGGGCCTCCTTGGGCCTCTCTGGAGCCGTCTTGACGGCCTGTTGGGCCGTCTTGCGGTCTTCTTGGGCTGCCTTGGGGCCCTCTTGAGGGCCTCCTGGGCCGTCTGGGGTCGATGAGGGAGTCCCCTGAGGCCGTCTTGAGCGGTCGAAAATCCGAACAAGCGAGCAAGCTAAAATCATTCAAAAACTAAGGGAAATCCTGGATACTTGCTTCTTGAGCCTCTCTCAGGATTCCTCTTGGCACCTCCTGGGGCGGATTTGGGGCCTCTTGGGGGGCCTCTCGAAAAATGTCAGTGGCACGTTTGAGGTTTCGGGTCCCTATTCTCCTCTCTTGGAGCGTCGTTGGGGTCTTCTTGGCGACCTCTATGAGCCTTCTTGGGGCTCTTTGGGGCCGTCTTGGCGCTCAATTGGGCCGTCTTGGGGTCCTCTTGGGCCGTCTTGAGGCCCCTTGGGGCCCCTTCAGGGCCTCCTGGGCCGTCTGGGACCGATTTGAAGGCCCCTGAGGCGGTCTGGAGCAGTGGAGAACCCCAAAAGGCGAGCAAGCTGAAATCAGTCGAAAACCATCAGAAAATCATTGAATAGAGCATCTTCAGGCTCCCGGGGGTCCCTTTGGGGCTCTCTCTCTCGCGGCTGAATTTGGACCTCGTGGAGGCCTCCTGGGAGCCCCCACAGGACTGTTGGGGGTCTCGGGCGGAGCATTCGTGGGCCTCTCAGAGCCTGTCTTGGTACCATCTTGCGCCGTCTTGGGGTCCTCTTGAACCGTATTGGGGCCCTCTTTGGGGCCTCCTTGGGTCGTCTCGGGCCACTGGAGGGCCCCTGTTGCCTTCGTGGGCGGTCGGGGACCCGAAAAGGCGATTAACGTACAATCCTTCAAACACTCAATGGAAATATGCCTCCCAGACCCCTCCAAGGAACCCCAAGAGGGCCCAAAGACCCCCAAAACGAGCCCCAACAAGGCCCCAAGAGTGGCCCAAGAGGCCCCACATGGGGCCCTCAGAGAGCTCTTAAGCTCAGGATAGCCTCCGACAGCCTCTAGCCGAACATGGCTCAAAATAGCCTCCAAGACGCCTCAAGAAAGCCTCCGATCGTGTCCGGATGGGCTGGTGGAGACGCGCGAAGCATCAAGAATTTGGGTCATGCGTTTGCCGCGCCCTGCGACCACCTGTCCCTGGACATGCTCACTAAAAAGTGCCTCAAGGCACATTCTGGGGCCTTCGGTGGAGCTCCCCATGAGCCACGAAAAATGCGAAGGGCGCACCGAAGTGAGTGGAACCGCATGCGGGCACTGCCACTGGGGCCTTCGGCGGAGCTCCCCATGGTGCCACGAAACGTGTGAGGTGTGCGCGGAAATGGGAAGGCGGAATTGCATGCGGGCGCTGCCACTGGGGTCGTCGGTGGTGCTCCTATGGAACCGCGAAACGTGCGAGGGGTGTGACGAATGGCCATGCGGAGGGCAGAAGGAGGGATGAGGAGGAGAGGAGGTAAGTGAGGACGCGGAGCGCTCTCGTCAAAACGACGACCCAACACCACAGGATGGTTGGGACCAACACGAAATCCCACAAACAATGAGAGGGCCCTGCCAGGGTGGACCCGTGTGTGAAGCATCCAAGGCAGGCAGACGGAGCTATCTATTGCTCAGGATGATTAACTGCCTTTCGGGGGGGAGAAGTGCAGAGAGAACGCGAGGGTGGGGCGGCCCGTGATAAGAGCGTCTCTTCCTGTCCGACGCCCTGCGAATATCATTCGCAACCGCTCGCGTATCGCATAGAATTCCATGGCCTCTTCATGTCCCATCCCTCATCTGCTCATCCTTTTCATGAACCTCCTCCTCATCCTCCTCCATGCTGGTCATTGTTCATTCCTGTGGAAGGCGTTCCAGCAATGCTGCGGTGATGGTTGAAGTGGTTGAGAGGAATACTGGGCGCGTAACAGGGGCCTGGATGACGCAGACTGATACCCTTCCTCGCACCCCTCTGGAAGACCCCAACACCACGATGGACCTGACCAGAAACGCACGCGAAGCTTGACTGGCTGTTGCGTGCTCACTTCTGTCTGAACGTAGGCCCCAAAACGAAAAGACGGCACATGCGGCGACGTCGTCGAGCTACGCTTGGATGAATGTTGGGTTGTTTTCTGGTAAACTGTTTGGGGCTGAAAGAAGCGGGCCGTGGACGAAGGCTTGAGCCCCGAAAACGGAAGGGAAGAGGAGAGAGAGGAGGGACAGGGGAGGAGTGAGGGAGAAGGGACGAGGGAGGAGGCGAGGCGAAGCGAGGCGAGCGCGCGAGTTCGGTCTGGCGGGACCGGCCCTCACAGGGCGGCGCGGGGGGGCCGGAGCCCTCAGGAGACGCGTTGGGGGCAAAAGTCGGAACCGGAGCCAAAAGCGGAGAGATGGACGGGAACCGGAGTCGGAAAGGTGTGAACAGGAGTCGGAGAAACGACCAGAGTGGGCAGAACACGTAACGCTGGAGTCGGGGAAGCATTCCAGATCCTATAGGTTGTAGTGGGCGTAGGCGTATTGTATAAAATCATATCCTAGATCCCTCCATAACTGTTGAACTGCTGCAATTGGTAACCATTGGTTGTTGTGTTCCTGGTCGTCGCGGTCTTCACACATGCCCTTGGCGCGTAAGAAATGCATGATGTCGTCTGCCCATCGACTTCGTTACCCTCCGTGCCGCCGGTGCGCTGGGCGCGGGGTTTCCATGAGGCAGCTAAGAAAGTCCAGCTGTCGCAATCGTGTGTCGCCACACGGGATGTTCACTTCCATTTCTGTCTGAAATATAGAACAACCCATTCTTCAAATTGGGCTCGGGAAGCATGGGTGGCTTCGCGCGTGGCTCGTCGAATGTACTCGGCCCATGGTTCCTTTCCGTCATCATTCCTCTCGTCGCCGTTGCTGGCTGTGTAGTTCGGGTTGTTTGCTGTGTCGGCGTCGGTCATGTTGTGGTGGCGGTCGTCGTCGGAGGTGTCGGGCGCGTGCTGGCGTTGTTCGTTGCGTCTCCGCGGTACTCCCGCGACAAGCCTGAGCATTTGCCGATGGAAACGCCTGAGAATAAGAAGCACCTCTTTCGTCAGAGTCCAGGGTGAGCAGCCGTACAACACGGATGGCGTGACAGTGCCATTGAACAACCTCAACCTACTATGGAGCGGGAAGCGTTTGTTGGTCAATTCGTAACGAAGCTAATTGAAACGGGCCCACCCTGCGGCAATCCTGTTGTGCAACTCTGTGTCATGAAATTCGTGAACAGTAAGCTTTCTTCCCAAGTACTTCGTTCCGTGGCTGGAATGTAGGATGCTGATGCTGTCGCCGTTGATGTCGGCATGGGTGATTGTTATCCCCTCTTTCCGGCGAGTGTTCGTCAGGATCTTCGTCTTTTCTGGATGTAGTAACAGACCAAATTTAGCTGCGTGGGTTTGTACGTCACGAAGTAAGCAGGTGAGATGTCTTAGGTTGGTGGCGTACAACAAGCCGTCGTCGGCGAAACGCAGATTTGTAATCCGCGCTTGTGCTGAAAATCCAAGGTGGACCCCGAATTTCTTTCGTAACCAAACAGGTTTTACTTGTCTGAACACGTGCTCTAAGACGGCGTTGAAAAGGAAAGAGCTCCGCGCGTCTCCCTGTTTAACGCGCCGTTCGATATTGAAGGACCTGCTGTTGGTATCCGTCCGAACTGTACCTGTTTGGGTGCTATATAAGTGTTGCAGGAAGGTGATGTAGGCGGGACGTGTATGTTCCTGTCGTAGAGCGTCCCACATAAAGTCGTGGCCAACGCAGTCAAACGCTTTCTTGAAATCTACTGCGGCGGCCCAGAGCGGCAGCTGCAATTCGTGAGAGCTATCATGAAGCATTGTTGGGGTGAACAAGCGGTCCTCTGTACAGTTGTTCTTGCGGAAATCTCTTTGGTCTGGGCATTGTTGCGCGCCGAACAAGACGCTGAGCCTGTTGCAAAGGAGGCGAGACATCAGCTTATACATCAGAAGGACGATGGCAATTGGTCTGTAACTGCCTGGTTGCTTGGGGTCACCAGACTTGTGCATTACAGTGATGGTGGTGCTCTTCCACTGGTCTGGCGGAGGGCGATCCGGCTTGATGGTGTCGTAGATGGCATTGTAACGTGGTGCCTCCTGCTTTGAGCAATTCTGTCGTGAGCCCAGCGGTGTCGCTGCACCTGCCGTTCTTGAGTTGTTTGATTGCTTGGTGGAGCTCGCTTGCTGTGAAAGGCGGGATGGTCGAGTCGTCGTGCGTCTGTAGGTGGGTGTTGCCCGTGCCGGCTACGCGGTGCGGGTCCTTGTACAACTTCGCATATACAGTCGCGAATACGTATGGTATGCTTTGTCTATCTGTCCCGTCGATACCTTCAGCTGTGGTCAGTGATGGGACCATACTTTTGTGCTTGCTGGTTTTCAACCAGATATTTTCTTCTGTCCTTTGAATTGGCAGACAATCTCCTCGAGCTCGGCATTCATCTCGGCACGTTTGATAGCCCCAGTCAATCGAAAGATTTGTTTGCTAAGGGATCTTCCTGCAATTGTGTCTCGTGGTGCGGTTACGCGTTTTTGTTGGATGAGTGCCTTGAGCCGTGCTGTCGGTCCGTCGTTGGCGTGTCCTTGAGGGTATCCGGCTGATTGTTCTTGGTGTTCCTAGTAATCCTTGCGCGCAAGCTTGAGCCCTTCACCAATGTCATGGTACCTACTGTCCAAGTCGGCGTCGTGGTTGTGGTGGCTCAAATGCTGTCGCAAGCATTACTAGCAAAATGGGTCGTCGGCTGGGGGATGGGATCGCGTGCCGCGGTGCGGTTGCGTCCGTTTCCTCTTTCTCTTCGTCGTGGCCTCAAGGTCCATCTTGACGTGCACAGCTAGTTAATCGGATCCGAGGTCTGGAAAGTTGGAGGCGTACGAGCCGACCACTTGGTATCGTCGTGCCCTGTCTACCAAAATGTAATCAATGTGTGACTGTATCGGGTTTTTGCCACTGCTTGTGTAGGTGAACAAATTGTGGTCGCGTTTGTGGAAAAGTGTGTTGCAATCATCATTTTCCGTGTATTAGACCATGCACGGAGCCATGTCCCTTTTGCACAAGCCCAAACCAAATTTGCCAACAGTATGTTTCCGGCTCATGTGATCTGTTCTTTCGTCGTCGTCGTCCCCCTCATCAGCATGTATATTGGCAGGCTTCTGCCCACTTGCGCATTGAAATCTCCAGCAATAATACGTGTCCGCTTGGATTGCACGGCGTCGTCGTGAATCGCTCCCAAATGGTCGTACATATGCTGTATGTGTATATCGGCGTAGCCGGAGTGGGGGAAATATGCCGTCACGACCCTGATGTGCTGCTTGGGGAAGTTGATGTCGATGTAAGCGACTCGCTCGTTGATGGCTTCGAAACATTTGACCAGTTGGACGTGTCGCCAATGAACGAGAAATGCAACTCCACGTGACGCATCCGTATGGTCCGATGCTGCGAATAAATGCTTCCCGCGTTTTGTGATCCACATCTCACGAGATTCCGTTCTCCATGTCTCGTTGAGGGTAAGCACATCCCAATGTACGCCGTCCAATTCGTGCAACAGTGCATCTATCGAGTCATCAGTTGTGCGGTTTCTTACGTTTCTGTGAACGATGGTGAATAGTTGGGTTGACGATGGATGCGGTGTTGGAGTATGCTGGTCGTGTTTACCACCGTCATCGCTCTCCCGTTGGTGGTTTCGGTGTGTGCTGACGGGGACGTCGCCGTCGACTGTCTTGTATTTGCCTCGTCCTCCTCCAGTGCTTCTCAGGTTGGGCTGGTGTTGCTGCTCACTTGTGCTATTGTTGCTGCTGTCCGGTAGTGAACGGTGGGGTTGGTCGATGGTGGGAGGAGGGAGGAGGCGGAGGGAGGATGGAGCGAGGAGGGAGGAAAGCAGAGAGAGAAGGGAGGGGAAGAGGGAAACGTGAGGGAGGAGAAAGAAGCGAGAGCAGGAACAGGAGGAGAAGAGGCTAGAAGATCCAAGATATGTAGAAGCCCTTCTTCGGGGCCTCGGGAGGTCCTCTTGGGGCAATCTCCTGGGCGGAGAGAAGAGGGAGAAGGGTAGAGAGAGGACAGGGGAGGAGTGTGTGGAAGGTTGAGGATGATGATGAACAGGAGGGAAAGAGGAAGAACGGTCCGGGACGTTGTGAAGCACTTGCTCGAGGCATCTGGGGCCTTCTCTGGGCCCTCCCGTGGGCTGGAGCCTCTTGGGTGGACTTTGGGATATTATGGTGCTCTGTTTGGGCGGCTCAGGACGCCTTTGCGGCCTCGTGGGCCGGCTCGACGTCTCCTGGGGCTGCCTAGGACTCTACAGGATCCCTTTGGGAGGCGTTTGGGAGCGACCCCCGGTCATGGCGGAGCGTCTCGGGACCCTCCTGGGGTCATCTAGAGCTGTTTTCGATGCCTTTGCTCTTGGGGGCTCCTGTGGGGGCTGCTTGGTGGTATTGGAAGCCTTCTTGAAAGCTGTTGGGGCCTGGAATGGCCTGGCGGAGACTCTTGCTGATAAGACTCGCTGGAAAACAAACGAGATTGAACAACGGTTCAATTGTGTTGGTATGGGCCCTCTCGGGTACCTCTAGGGGTGCTTTTCGGGCCATATGGGGCCATTTGGGGGGTATCGTGGAGCCATCTTCGGGCTATCGGAGAGTGCTGGGACTAGTGCCGTCAAGAATGGCTCTGGGGAGTGATTTGGAAATGTCTGGATCCTTTTGGGGAGGCTGCACTGGCCAATCAGGAAAGACCTCCCTCGCACGCGCTGGGGCACAGCATCCTAGTACTGATGACGTCGGGCTCCAGTTTCACATCTCGCATCTCGCCGAGCAGTGCCAAAGCCTTCTGCCACTGCTTGCCCTTCTCGCACGCGTTGATCCCAGCGCTGTAGCTAAGTGGGGCTGACCCGAGAACCACCGTTCACGAAATCCGCCGACCCTGTCGGCGTGTGTGAGGGCCTTGTCTGTTCGAGTCATCGTCTCCGTCAGTCGTCGTCTCCGTCGTTCCATTTCACTGCACACTCCTCCTCAAACCTGTCAGCGAGAGAAAAATCTAGCAATGTCGTAATCGAGTCGAAGAGAAGCCCCTTCCCTTTGATCCCTCGTCGGGGGGGGTCGTGGGGGAAGTAAAGGGGAAGGTGTGGGTCATCCAGGAATCCCAACCGACTGGGATCAACTGGTACTGTTTCCAACCAGCTCGAGAAGACAAACTGGCACGAATTCCAACCGACCGAGTAACCTCACTGTATGATTATATGGGGGCGATATTAGCATATCCTAAAACCGAATCATATGTTTAGGTGTGCACATGCATTCCAGAATATAAGATAAATGCCCGGGTTGGACTTTGTATCAGCTTTGTCCGGGGATGCTACTGCAAGGGCTTGGCTTAAGGGCTTCAGGGTTTCAGGGCTTACGGGTTTATGAGTTTGAGAGCGTATGTGTTTGAAGGTGTAAGGAATTTAGGGTTTCAGGGCTTTCGGGTTTTCAGGATTGATTAACAGTGTAAAGTGTGTCAGGGTAATGGCTTAAGGGTTCAAAGGCTTAACGTGAGGGTTAAGGGTAAAAAGCGGGTTGAGGGTTTTGACGTGTAAGGGCTTCGGGACTTAAAGGACTCAACGGGTAGAGGGCTTAAGGGTGTAAGGATTTAAGCGTCTAAAGTGTCAAGGGTGTAAGAACTGTAATGCTTGAGCGCTTGAGAGTTTACGGGTTTAAAGGCTGAAGAGTTTGAGGGCTTAAAGCGTCAAGTGTTACAGTGGTGAAGGGTATACGGGCTTACAGTGCTTCAGGCTGTAAGGGCACAAGAGCTTAAGGATGTGAGTGTTTAACGATTTAAGGGTTTAAGGGTTTTAATGGCGTAAGGGTTTAAGGGCTTGAGTGCTTTGGGGGTAGAAAGGTGTACGGGCTTAATGGTTAAAACGTTTGGCGGTTCAGGGGCTTAAGGGCTAGAGGGAAGGAGCTGGCAAGCGAGGGGGAGGGTGAAAGGAGAGGAGGAGGAGGAGGAGGAGGGGGAGGAGGACAAGGAGGGGGGAGGAGAGGGAGGAGAAGGCGGAGGAGGAGGTGAATCAGGTGAATCAGAAAATAGAGCTAGCTCCGCGAGCAGGGGTAAAAGACTCCCCGCGAACCAGACGGCACCTGTCCAGCGCCAAGCGCAACCTGGAGTACGACGCCTCTAAGACGCCTGTGTGACTTCTCATGGAGGTTGGTTGCAATTCATTCTAAAGTGGTTGGAATTAATACCACAAAGGTTGGTATTAGTACTAAAGTGGTTGGAATTGGTTCTAGATGGTTGGAATTGGCCCCATTTCCGGATAGGGGTGGGTAGGGGAGGGGGGTCCTGGGGGGGTCCGGAGGGGGGGTCAGATACGCAGCCCCTCTGGGGGTCCCGGAGCATCCGAAAATACCAAGACAGGCCAAGAGAGCCCCAAGAGGCCCCCGAGACGGTCCAAGAGGGCCCCAAATCGCCAAACTATCGATCCAAGACGCCTTCACGCCCTCCAGACTACCCAGGAGGCCAGAGCACTCCCGAGAAGGGAGGGCCCCACGACGCAACATTCATTGGAACTCCTTTGGTTGTTTCAGGAGATGAGCGTTCTCGCCTTTTCCGCTCCCCGCCGCTGCAAGACGGCCCAAGAGGCCCACAAGATCGCCCCAAGACGCAAGACGGCCCGAGAGGCCTCCAAGAGGGGCCCCCACTCAGCCCATGAGGACCCCAAGACACCCCGCAACGCCTCCAAGACGGCCCGAGAGGCTCCCAAAACGGCTCCGAGCGTGCCCAGACGGGGGACCCGAATGGACATTTCGAGCCCTCGGCCCCGAGAGGCTCCCAGCAGGCCCCCAGAGGTCCCCAAGAGGCCCCAAGAGGCACACAAGAGGTCCACAGGAAGCCCGACGAGGCCCCAAGATGCTCCCAAGAGGCCCCCATGAGGCTCCCACGAGGCCCCGGAATTCCTGCCCAATGGCCCCTGAGAGCCTTCCGAAGAGACCACAAGAAGCATCCCTCTGGCCCATATAAGCGTCGTCGTCGCCGTCGTCGCCGCCGCCGTTGTCGCCGTCGTCCCCCTCCAGGGTCGGCGGCACCAGCCGTAAGGCCTTCGCAATCTGCTGGAACTGGCACGCGATGTGATGGCGGAAATGCTGAAGTCGTTCGTTATGACGTCGGGCCCGAGCTTGCGGCTGCTGCCGCTTGCTGTTGCTGCGTGCTGCAGGACTATGCGAACTGCTGGCTATGGCTGCTGGTGCTGCCTGCTGCTGATACCTACTGCTCTGAAAGCCGCATACGCTTCGTAGGGCCTCTTGGAGTCTCTTGAGCCATCTCGGGGCCCTTTGGGGGGGCCTCTGTGGGTCTCTGGCGACATCTTGGGGGCGTCTTGCGACGCGTACGGGCGGCCCGTCCGTGGGGGTGGTCTGGCCCGACCGTCCCGCTGCCGCGGTCAGCCGGTAAATTCCACACTGCCCGTCGATTTGGAAAAGAAGGCGCTTGGCTCCAGCTTCGCTTCGCACATCCCGCTGAGCAGCAGCAACGAGTGCTGCCATTTGCCTCTCTTGTTACATGCTGTCATTCCCAATACATAGCAGACAACGTTCGGTTGCAACTTCGCTCTGGTCACCTCGTTGAGCAACAACAATGCGTGCTCCCACTGCGACCTGTTCCCGCATGCTCTAATGGACTGAAAGTAGTCGTGGAAGCTTGCAAGCGCGAGTGCAGTGCGTCCCAAAGCTGGCCCGGATAGACCACACATGGCTTAGCGCTTCGCGGTTCCACGATCATTGGCGTAGGCTCTCAAAGCCACAGGGCTCCATTGAGACTTAGTCTTTCCCGACATACCAAAGATCTGCATCGTCGGCGTACAACTGCAGTGGCTCTTGAAACGCTACAGCTGATGCAATGATCAGGGAGCTCAGAGCGCATTCAACCAAAAACTAAAAACTGAGCCGAATTCGCGTCACTCAGGGTTACCCGTGGTGCTGCCGTATGACGAGAACAAGTGTAGATAACGCGCCTGTATTGAAGCCAGAAAGCGAAGACTGCATCTCGCCGAAAGCACTTCACACGTGATGGCACCAGCTGGAATGCACAGGTTCAGCGCCTCCAGATGGCAAAGCAAAAAAAAACGGATGGACGATATTCCCATGGTAGAGGACTCACATGTGAGACTGGAAACCAATGAGTCGAAATGCGCATCAGCAAGGGGTAAGAAGGACGCCCCTACCATACTCCCACGACGCGCATGTTTCAATGACAAGTGACGCGACGGACTACCTGCCGCATTAGTTCCCACCTCTGGCACCACGACAGCCCCACACCTTCCTCCTTTGGGTTCGTCCACTCCCTTTAAGAAACAGCCCCTGTCCTCCCCTCGTGTGTGTCATGATGTTCCTCTTCCTCCTCATCATCATCATTCTCCTCGTCCTCCTCGCCATGATGACTATCATCGCCAGCATCGCTACCCTGCGGGACCGTATACATGCTCCTCCTCCTCCTCCTCCTCCTCCTCCTCCTCCTTTGCAGGGGGGGGGGGGGGGGGGGGCGAATTGCCGGCCGCGGAGCCGAGGTCCTCCGTCAGCCCGCCAGGGCAGCAGACGCTCGTCGCCCCCAGCGCGGCGACGTCTGTGCAGTGGCCTGACCCCCCCTCTCCTTGGCCTCCCCCTGAACCCTCGCGTTCGCAGCGATCGCCGTCCACGGAAGCTGGCTCCAGCGCTCGAGGACCAGACCCTCGGAGCGTCTGCCCTTTGGAGAGCTGCCCGTGGGTTTGCCCCGCCCGGGCACAGTTCACCACCCCTCGGGCCCCGACAAGACCTGCTCATGCCCAAACCTCTCCCTTGAGTGGTCGGCTGCTGGTGCAAAGATCCCAACCGCCAGCAGGCTTACCACCCGTGGACTCGCACAGATGCGCAGCGGGCCCGGGAGGAGAGGAGGAGGAGGAGGAGGAGGAGGAGGACGAGGAGGAGGACGAGAAGGAGGACGAGGACGAAGAGGAGGAGGAGGAGGAGGAGGACGACGACGAGGAGGAGGAGGGAGGAGGAGGAGGAGGGGAGGAGGAGGAGGAGGAGGAGGAGGAGGAGGAGGAGGAGGAGGAGGAGAAGGAGGAGGAGGAGGAGGAGGAGGCAGGGGGCCCGCGCGCCCCCAGCGCGCCCCAGCAGAGATCGGGCCCCTGGGGCGCCCGAGGGCCGCGCCCGAGGCCAGGGAGCTCGACGCGACCCTGGCGCGGCCCCCAAGAGGGCCCCGAGGCGGCCCAACAAGAGGACCCCAAGACGGCCCAAGAGGGCCCCAAGACGGCCCAAGACGGCCCAAAAGGCGCCCAACAAGAGGGCCCCAAGACGGCCCAAGAGGCGCCCAAGAGGCGCCCAAGAGGGCCCAAGGACGGCCCCAAGAGGGGGCGGCCCAGATGGGGAGCCCGACGAGAGACTTCGACGCGACCCTGGCGCGGCCCGTTCGGCCTTCGAACAGAAGGTCGGGAGCCCGCCGCGCGCAGCGATGCTGGGTGCGCTTGCGCCTCACCTGACATCCTATCCCTCCTTCCCCTCCCTTCCAATGGCGCTGGGCTTGTCTCTATCCGCGGACGAGTGTGCTAGCCGACGTGCGACTCCCACGGAAAGACCACTTCGTTTTATGCGCATGGGCGAAAGCGCCCCGTTCTGAACGACGGGAGAAAGCGCCGATCCAAAAAAATAAGGCCCACGCTGCAGCGTGAGCACCATCTTGGAATAAAGAACACAATCAGATTGAACAACACCAGAAACAGGAGACATAAAAAGAAACCATGTTAAAACAAAAGCATGCAAAGGGGGCGGGAGGTCTTCCAGGCAACTCCAGGGGAGGAGGATAGTAGCATTGGCATTGTCTTTTTTTTATGGTGGAGGAGGGGGAGGAGAAAGAGGAGGAGGAGGAGGAGCGAAAGTGACCAAATAAGAAGGGGGCGACGAAGCGGCCAAGAGCACGACTGAGGACGAAAGAGTGTCATCACTGATCCCGCAGCAGAGAGACTGGGCCCGGGCGCCGCCGCGTGAGCTGCGTCAAGCGGGCGGCGGCGCGCTTGGGGATTGGGCCTCCTGTCACGGCGCCCTGCAACACATGAGATCGCTCAGGGGGGAGGAGTAAGAGTAAGAGTAAGAGAAAGAGTCCCAGGACGTTGTCCTAAACAAAGCCTCTCGCCTCCCCGAGCTCAGTGGACGATGACAACGGAGACCTGAAGCGACGACGCCTGCGGAAAAGGACAACCTCGAACAAAATGTCACGACATTACAGGTACATCATCAAGCCGTCTGGTAGCTCCCCCCGAGTGCGCAGCAACGCAGACCGAAGGCAATGCTGACGCCGCCTGTCTCACGCAAAACTACATCCAGAAGGCTGCGACCGTCACACCAACACTCAAACAAACCTACAAAGCTGAAGCGAAAATTGAAATACACTGACACGGGAAGATGTGCGCCGAAGTGGGCATTAAAGACGAAATCGAAGGATTAATATAGCCGCGCTCTTCACCACTATTGGATAAAGGGGCCAGCACCGTAAAGACGACGACGTGATACCCAGCACCCTCAGGATCCTCGAAATTGAAGCCCACGATGTAGTAGCCGCTGAACCCCAGGCGGTGTGCCATCAGGGAAGAGAAAGCCCCTGGCACGCCGACCGCCTGGGAGGGCACCACCATAGACCAGAGTAACAATCCGCTGAACCCCAGACGGTGTGCCAAAAGGGAAATCGTCCCCTAGCACGCCGACCGCCTGGGAAGGCAAACCACCAGAAAGTCCCAGAGCCAACAATAACTGGAATAAGACTAAACTTAACAACCTCCTGCGTGTTCGCCTTAAGAAACCCACAAACAGCATGATACCAGAGGAAAAAGCTTATCATAATCTATGGGGCGATAAGGCTATAGGGCTAGAAGACTATGGGGCTATAGGGCTACAGGGCTACAGGGCCATAGGGCTGTAGGGCTATTGGGCTATAGGGTTATGAGGCTGTTGGGCTATAGGGCTATAGGGCTATTGGGCTATGAAAGCTATAGGGCTCCAGGGCTATAGGGCTATAGGGCTATATATAGACGGACCGGACAACTGGGCACCCAGGCACATGGGCACCCAGGAACCCGGGCACACGGGCACCCGGGCACCCGGGCACCCGGGCACACGGACATCCAGGCACCCGGGCACCCTGGCACCCAGGCACCCCCGGGTACCTGGGCGTGCGGCGAAAACCCGCGGCAAACCTAACCTAACCAAATGAATCCGCTAGGACCCCTACAGAGGCAAGCTCTGATTAGGGAAATACAGCACCCTGCCGGAACAAACCGTCCCTCTTCGCCAACTGGCTGAGCGTCGCAAAGACGAGGATGCCGATGCGGTGCCACGTTGAGGCGGAAACAAGGCTGGGGCTCCCAGCACAAACCGACTACGAAATGGCTGCGAACCTCCGCCGCATTTGAGGCTCAGGGGGAAGGAGGAGGAGGAGGAGAAGGTGGAGGAAGAGGAGGAGGGGAGGAGGAGGAGATCAAAAGATTTCCCCTTCAGCCACAGAGGCAGTTTTGTCGAACAACTATCCACGCCATGCGCGCTGCACACCGAAGGGCCAAAGATCACTGGGCAACAGCACATTGTTGGAAGCC